CCGTTAGTTAGGAATGCTGTGAGATGCGGTTGGGTTCCGATCGGATTTTATATGGATTTCTATAAAACCAACGAAATCTTATCGGAATCCGAGACCCAGAACGACATTCGGATCCTTGTGTTGAAGTTCCATGGAATCCGACTGCCGGAATCCAACGTACCACTTCGACTGAACTCTACTGTTTGCAGCAAATAGTAATTGGTAATTAACCAATTAAATAGGTTTCATCCATCGGATTCGTAAGTGGCTCCATGTCTTGGATTCTCATAGGATTTTATCGCTAGATTGGATCCGATCAGATCCGACCGGATTCACTGTCGGATTCATTCACCTAGGTATCGGTTCACCCATGATTTATTCGTATCGATCTTCAATCGAGAAGGCAACCACCGTGTAATCTAGTATCCACATATTCGAACAGACCTCCCTCCGATACTCATTCTATTGTCTACACTCAACCTCATTCTCAGGTCTTTTCCAGCGCCTAATGTGCCATATAACTTGAGCTATGATGGAATTCTCGCATCTCAACCGTCAACTTCATACCCAATGGTCGCAAACAAGTATAACACACCCAAATCCTCACATCCTGTTGACAAAGATGTTCGGGTTCTACAAGACATTGCAAGTAGGGCACCAAATGTAGTCATGAAGACATAACCTATCGCTCTGACTAGAGTTCTGACTACAGTTGGCAGGTCCTTGAATCATAATCTATAATTATTGGCTTCCTTTTACCAACAGCAAGAGACATCCTCACACCCACCCTCTAGATTCATCGCCAAATCTTCCATTCATAAGTCTATTCAGATCGTCCATTCGTTACGATCCACCACTAGAGCACATCGGGTTCAAGATTTGTCAGCTCGGCACCCGGTTGATAAACATACCACCCCACACCCAATAGATAAAGATTTTCAGACTCGAACTCGAATCCGGACCCGATGGACCCTACCCACCACTGCAACAGCCATGATTCCCTAATCCACACTCATCACCCAAGTACACACCCAGCATCAATAGTAATCACCCTCACAGCCACCCATCCAATATGAAGATGATTCACACAAAACCCCACTAGTCTAAAGATTCATCACCCATACCCTACATCGAGCAACTTCAATTGTGACTTTAATGAATTTGCTCCTTCGAAATATCCGTAAAAACAGTATTTTTATGAAATTGGTCGAATATTTTGTATTTCTTTAAAACGCTGGAAATTCTGTCCTATTAGGATTGCAGAGGAAGCGAAGGTCTACCGAACGCAGTGTGCCATCATATCGAGCAATTCGGCTCTTTTTAAAAGTCTTGAGCACAAGAATACTCTGAAAAGCACTCATTTGTGTGCGGTTTCTGATCATTGACATAATATTTCAGAGTCGTTTTTTTTCTATATTAAGGTCATCTTTAGTATGGTTAGATGCATCTTTTTATGCGAAATCTAAATATGTATTTGAATTTTATTTTTGACCTTGCTTTAATGTGGAAACATCTTGCAACCTGTTTATGAGCAACTTTTGAAAAAAATCATTTTCTCAGTGTACATCGACTTTTACTATTGTCAGTATTTTTGGAATTATCTCGGTTAAAACAAAAACTTACCGAAAATACATTTTGTCACTGTTCTTAGAATTTTGAGCTCTAAAAACCCTGAAATTTTCAGTGAAATCCGTCACTACTTCCGTATGATTTAGTTGAATTTATGTTAAATTCCTCGTCACATTTTATGCGCTGAATTAGAAATCAATATAAATGGCAACTGTGTTTTCTTTAGTATTTCATTGAATTTCAGCCGATCGAGGTACTGACTAATGCTTGTGATATGGATTAGATCAGCACTAATTGTAACTTAGCATATTGCTAAAATTGACTGATGATTAAACAGAACATATTCTTTTATAAGAGGTTTTTGTCTATGCATGTAAACTACTGTTCATGCAATGCAATAAACTACTATCCATTTCAAAATAGAATACAATTACTAGTTCATCGAATAGCTCATGGGTGGAACGAGCTAAAGACCTGCGATTTTCATTGTTAAAGAGAGGACATTGACGGATGATTATTGATGTAAAACTCAATTGGTTAGTTAGGGAGCAGGCTATTACGTAGTGTGCGAAGTTTTCTGAAACATCCGCTCGACATGTTTTTCTATTGAATTTAAAAGTCAAAATTAATCATTCGATAGAAGAAAGCAAACTCTTTCAATGTACACAAGAAAGAATTATTTTTGGATAATTTCATTAAACCGTTATGCGCATTTTGTTGCAAGCCTCCAAATTGATTGACTGGCCATCGTTCCCTCTAAAATGCATCCAGAGAGTTATTAGGCCATACTAATTCCATTTGGAATGTTTAGGTTCACTTCTAACGTGATCTGATGCCAAAATGATCATACTTTCAAAATTTATTATTTTGCACAATTAGACACGTAGAATCTAAATTTTGAGAGTCTGATCATTTTGGCATGAGATCACGTTAGAAGTGAAACAAAACATTCCAAATGGATTTATTATGGTCAAATGCTCCATTCTGGATGCATTTTAATATGATCAATGGTCAGTTGATCGATTTAGGGCTTGCAGAAAAATGCTCATAATGGTTTAACGAAATTACCTAAAAAAATTCGTTCTTGTGACGATTGAAAGAGTTTGATTTTCTCAATCGAATGATCAATTTTGCTTTTACAATTAAACAGAAAAACATGCCAAACCACTATCTCGGAAAAGTCCGGACACTCAGTGATCACTTGTTCACTAACTAACTAATTGAGTTTTACATTTAAATAATCATCCGGCACTATGCTCTTTGTAGCAATGAAAACACATGTCTTTAATTCGTTCTATACTCGAGCTATTTAATGAACAAGTAACTGTATTCTGTTTTGGAATAGATAATAAATGCAATTAATTACTCAATAGAGTCAAAACTTCGTTAAGAACGTTGTTATATTATGAATTTGAATTCATATATTTTCTTCTCAATGATTGAAAATGAAACATCTACATGGTTTCTTTTGCTCAATAGTTTTCTCTTTCTATTCATATGATTGCTCCTTCAAAACTGAAATTCGTTAATATTGATTAATTAAGACTAAAGTCAGAAGTTCCCACATGTTACTACAACTATAAAAAGTATTATTTATTGTATTATTTATCAAAAAAAAGAACACTTGTCTGGAATAAGAGATAATCTGATAATGAAAAAGAACATTTTCTTTCGACTTTTTCTCGTATTTGACTAATAGAGTGGATATTTTTTCAAATATTCATAAGTTTTATTCTTTTTGGAAAATTAATCCTCAGTATTATTATTTTGAGAAGATTTGCCATTGTTGCAGAAAAAAGATGAAGACACCCGCATAATTCTATTTCTTCAAAATTCCGATCAAGTAGATTTATTCGAATTGATCGTTCCGTTTTTATCATCGTATTGCATGTGTCTACTAAATACTTCCCAAGTGTTAAATGATATCTATGCTATGAAAAGTTTTTCAGCATTATGCTAAAAGAAACATATACTCCCTTTGTTAAAAAGTCGTGAATCTCCACAATGTTGATTCCTTCTGGCTACCACCGGTTAGCGTAGTTGCGAGTTTCAATAAGAAACGAAAGTTAAGTTTCTTAATATTGACTACTAAGCGAAAATTTCTTAAAACATAAGATTACCATCAATTTTCCATACTTTCAGATAATAAAATAACTGAGTATTGTAGTATTTGTGTCATCGATAGTAGAAGAAAATAATTGATAGTTATGGGTCCAGCAGCATCTGCAGTGTCGAATTGTTTAAAAACTACTGAATGGATGTGGCAGTCAAATCCAAATCCATATTCGGAATCCGAGCCAGCCGAATGGAGTCATTATTCGGATTTAGAAAATCTAATAATCGAAAGAGCATTTTCAACTAAACAATCACGAGCCATCTTGGATGATTATTACATTGATTTCAAAAAGAATCTGCAAATATCCAACATTGATAACAACAAGCAAAGACCTATTAAGCGAGTGGAACGTAAGAGGGAAGACAAGCATTTACGAGAAGAACGTTTTATGGATCTTCCTGTTAGTTCGGGACGTTCATTCGGTGGTGAATATGGTTGGGTATCGCCGTTTATAATAGAAGTCAGAAGAGACTTGGGCCTTGAACCAGATGAATTACCTTCCAAAAAAACAAAACTAATCCCGATGCTTGTCGAAAAAGCTGCGCAAGGTATTATTACAGAAGGGAAGCATATTCGAAAACAATGTGAAGCCGAGGCATTGGCCAACATGCTTATAGAGAAAAAGAATAAAAAAATGAAAGAAGTATGGCAATGCTGTGCTTACATGTACACCATGGAAAGTTTCCTGTACAAAACCTTAAACGCAACCATGAGATTAGTTGGAGATAAAGATCATGAACAAGTATGGCGAAGTAAAGTTCGTACATTGGGCCCATTTTGTTTATTACTCTGGGATGATCCATTTAATAAAAACCTGACAACCAATAAGACACTTTATCGAGGGGCCACTCTGACGCAAGAACAGATCGCTGCTTATGAAAGAATGGCTACAGACAAAGCATATGGATCATTTCAAGCATATACATCTGCTAGTCGAAATCGTGAAAAAGCAGAAAATTTTGGAAATTCTAATACTTTATTCATCATGGAAGTATTAATTGCTTTTATTGCCGATCTCAGTACATTATCCGAATATGCTAATGAAGAAGAAGAACTTGTTACACCAGGTGTTTGTTTTAGTGTTAAAAGTGTTGAATTCGATCACAAGAAGAACAAACATTTGATTCATTTGCAATTAAGACAACGATTTTCTGGTAAGCGAAGAAAATGTTTTATCATAATTTTAATAATATGAAAGTATTTTTCTACACATTTCTATTCTTATTTGATATACCACATTAAGATTACAGTAATTGACAACATTACGATTTTGTCATATAAATATGTTGAAGTTCACTATATTGTCATAATTAATAAATAATAGATTAACGAGTGATACAAAGTTTTTTGCACAAATGCTACCTAATATATCACTGGTTAAAACATACATGAATAACTTTGAAAATATTTCTAGAGAACCAAACGGGATACTCATAAAGAATTATCTTCTAAGTATTTTCTAAATATGTCTGTCAATTGTTGATGTTTGGATTTGCATTTTTTTCAAAAGATAATCCGTAAAATTCTATACAAAATTCCATAACAGGATCTCTTCAAAATCATAACTCGGAAAAGGTATCTGCTCAGAAGTACTATACTCTAATAAGGTTCAGTATCAAGCTTTTATTTGCGTTTTTTCAATTGTGCACTGCTGCTTGAGGAGAGACAGAAAAATAAAATTTGAATATCCCATTTTGTAGCCCATGAGGATCTCTTTCACTTGAGCGAGTACTTTCTTTGCCATACTGTATGCCTATCCAAGTAAAGCACTTTGTTTGTCCTCCCTTATTCACGTTTTAAGGATGAACCATACAGGTTCCCCAAAACTTTTATTATTTGACCCAAGGAAACTTTTGCAAAGTTTTTTCTTGCAATCAGCGATGGAATGAAGGTGAGTAACGAACGACTAGAATCTATTTTTCAAAAAGATTTTCCACTGAAACGCGACAAACTTATCTGGAGACGTTTTTTCTGAACTCTTTTAGAAATAGTACACTTAAAAATATAGGAAACTTGCTTTAGAATAGTCTCAAATATTTTTAGTCAGAGGAGTAGAAATAATTAATTTCGTGAAAAATGTTACTTTGTGAGCGAAACATGTGAGGTACGGCACGACTGATCAGATATAGTTTTCCAGTCATTGTTTTAAAATCGATTCTGTTATGAGATTTTGTAGAGTATTTTACAGACTATTATTTGAAAAAAGTGCAAGTCAAACCATCAATGATTGAAAGAGATATTTTAAAAAACCACTTAGAAAGTGATTCTTTATGGATCACCCGCTATATCTAAAGCTCGTTTAGCGATAAGTTGAAAAATTTTCTACAAGGTAATGCCTTGTAATAGTGATCATGTCCTTTAACATCATTAAAATGTGATCTGTAAAAACAGAACAAAGTAATAGGCACGGATAAAAAAAGCAGATTATTTTTTTACTTCTATGCAGAATGGGCCATTTAATGCTGCTGTTCTTTTTTTGGTTAGATGCGTCGTTCAGTTCTCTATAACCATGGTAGAAAACTACGATGTCCCTTTAAATGACATGATCGATAATTTGAAAAATAATGATTGATGATATAATTAGAGTTCAAAATGAATGTAAAAACAATGATGAGCCGATATAAGTTTTTGAGAGCTCAATAACCCAATTTTTAACAGAATTGATCGAAATAATGGCTATGAATGATCTGAGATATTTGCTCTGTAAATATCTCTGAGGTAATGCCAAGAAAAGTCAAAAAATCGAACACTGAGTAAAACAGTACGAACACTAATCTGAAAATGACTTCATGTCTAAGTTTGAACTGTGCTCGTGTTATCTCAAAGAATTCAATAGTATTTTTCGTGTCATTCATCGAAAATAGAACTGGTAATCTTATAGAGAAAAGATAAACACACTATACTGAGATAATCCAAAAGAAATAGCAAAATGTCAAACGGATCGGTACCTTCTGTCGAATTCCTTTTCTGTTGCGGACTATTTTAGTGCTCTTTAAAGACATGCTTCTTACTGAAAGACAAGAAATGATAGAATATGTTTGAATACACAACTGGAAAGAATTTTCCACATAGATTCTATACAAGAGTTTATTCGCAAACGTTTCAACCGATGAAAAATGAATTAACACTCGTGTAGAAACTTGTCTATCACGAGTTCGTTAACTACTTGCCTGTATTAATGTAAACTACGATTTATAAGTATCTGCACAAATATCAAGACCTACTATGTTCAAAAGGAAACAAGTGAAAACCTAACTTTTTCACTCACTTGATGGGATCAAAATATGTATGTTGTTTCAAATGTACATATATTTAGAATTCGATCTCAGATATAATTTAAATGGTTATAAATTTTAATCGCTTTAAAACTACTAATTCCACATATACCTTATTTTTATTTGCATTATGTTGAGTAAAAACTATGATAGAAAGTTTCAATTTAGGGAAAGAAGGTTGTAGAATATAGATGTATTGAGAATCAATTCTTCTACTTGTTTTTTTCTGTGTATCCAACAAAGTCATCGATCATCATTAGAAATAGGATGAATAGATTTAATGCATTGTTACAAAAAGTTATAGATATATATTAGAAGAGAAAAACCTATAAAGATGTTCAATATATGAAGCATTTCAAGTCTTACAAAAATATGAGAAAAAAATTATTGTCTTGAGTTCAATTCATGAATAACGGAAGAACAAGTATCTTAGAAAATCGTCGTTACTGTCATTTAACTTAAACTTTTTGTGACTGAACAGACGGTTTCTACATCAGTTAAAATATTTAAATAGTTATATCTTTTCTATTTCAAAGAACTTGTTGAAAGTAAGCTTTTGTGTACTTTTTCGAAAATTATAGAAGAATCTTGCTTCGAAAAATTATTGATTTTCATTTAGTTTTACTCGTTCAAACTGCTTGACTTGTTTCAATAGAGTTCTGTTGCATTTTTTAAACAGTAGGATCAAAACTGCTTTCCTTATTGTTAAAATTGTCTCATAGATGTTTTGTTTGAAGATCTGATTTAAGTTTTGATTATCGTTCAGAGAAATGTTAATGTTTTTTTTCGAGCAATCTATGCATTTATTACATATTCATCTTTGACAAAGAAAATAACGTTAGAGACAAATTATTAGAACATGATGTTTGCTCTTCAAGATTTGTGAAAATTGCACGAGGAAAAAGAAAAATGAATTTCTGTTTAAATCATTTCCATTAATCAGTTCATGATGATCTAAAAAACCGAATTATTTTTGCCATTTTACACCCTTTCTCAAAGATATTTTCAACCGATGAGATCAACTCAATTGAAAAATTCTCGATTAGTCACATTTTTTGGTAATACTCTACTTGTCATTGAAAAAATTAAAAACAATTTTGCAATAAAAATCATTAAAATCTAAAAGATTCCAAAAAACACAATCGCAAAATCTAGAAGTATAAAAAAAGCATCTGTCTCTAATATCAATTTTATCATTTGAAAAAAAGAGTCATCCAGTCTGACATTTCTATTTTTTGATTAGTTATTCATAGGAGAAATCTTTGACATTTCTCTAGTTCGTCTTTGATAAATTCGATAAAAAACTTTCAGAAATTGGTT